CAGTCTGCTCTGATTGGCCAGCTGACCCAGTGCATTGTGATTGGCCGAACACCACAAGCATGCGTCGGAAATATAACGCCCCTTACCATAATCATTTCCACTTTCAAAGTAAATATCAAGACAGTTAATAATGTTGTTAGTTTTACCATCAGTTCAAGCTCAAAAGGGCAACAGAGTCAGTGATGATGACACAGTGATGATGCAGTACACAGGTCGCGGTTACATAGCTGACATGCTATGATTTCTGACAGGCAGTTCACTCTCCTGTGATGTGACCCTGTTCCCCTCACACACACACACACGCCGCGTTACTCTGCGCTGCGCAAAACTCTGCATTTGAACAGTCAATAGCAAATACTTAAATTAATAACAAAACATACTTACAGTCGCTGATTCAGAAGCGCCAGATTGTCATAGCAAAGTCGGAATTTACCTTTTTTTTTTTTTTTTGAAATAGCCTTGGTGCACAGCCAGCCTTGTACTCTTCTAGGTTCAAAGAACTGGCATCCATAAAATGCGTTGCACAAATTCGAACATCTGGGTTGTGCTGTTCTGTTGTAAATAAATCTTAACCAATGATTCCTAATTGCATCTACTTCCGGAAGGCCAAATAAAGTGCTTTTGCTTTCGCACTGAAACACACAGCGTCTCCCTGACATGGCTGCATCAACACTACCCTACTGTTGTTCCTGAAACCACGCCTTCTTTCTTTGCTTGCACATTTGGGCGGCATTATGCTAATATTTCCACATAGTGATGTAGATATGTGGGGGCGTGTTAGAACAAGGCGTTTTAGGTAGGCGTGGTTGACTCTTAACTTTTATAAAGAATATCTCTTTGGATTTGAGACTTTAGTCTTTGCAACTTTACAGATCTTCTTTATGCACCAAGAGCTTGTAACACTCCAAAGAGAAAGGAAAACTTGAAATCACATCATATGACCCCTTTAAAGAAAAATATTCTATACATATTGTTAACTCAAGGGGGCATGTGAATACGTGCAACCACACATGCCTACATATTTCGCTGCGCAAAACTGAAGTAGTAAAGGCAACACAATGGAAAAAGGCAATATTGGATAAATGGTTATCAGAGAGTGAATCCGTGGGTGAATGTATTCAAATTCTGAATGGGTTATAGCCTAGAAAGCGAGCAAAGAGCGCTCCCCCTGATAATAATTAAAAGGCATCTCAGTTCTTTGCGATCTCATACATTTTTGTTATAATCAATAAAGCTCTACACTACTGCACAATTAATCACTTATTTACATTGTGTGTACATTTTGTTTGCTCTAATGAGGATTCGTGAGCGTGCACAACTCAGAAAAACTGAACAAAACATGAGTGGATTCTAACTTAAACACCTCTAATTGGCCATTGCGTTCACGAAATCAACAGATATGTCTGTGATTGGCTACAAGAAACCGGTGTTTTCTGCCGCGAGACAGGCTGCGCTCCAGACTTTGCTCCCACAGCAAGTCGACACGTTAATTTTTTTAAATAAAAACTTGACAAGTTGTGCACTGAGGTAGACCTGCTATTTATTTTTATGCCTGACGAAAAACGTGCGCATTTAAAGATTCAGTGTGTGTTTTTGTTTTGTCATCTTAATTTGTTAATTATTTAAGTGAAAAATATTTAGTGTCGGCCTATTTATTTTATTCTTTTTATTTATATTATTTTATTCTGTTTTTATTTGTTTGCAGAAGTGCTGCAGGTGTGTGATAATTCAGACATGTGTGAATTCAGGTTCTGTTGTTCTGTATCCTGCTGTTATATAAAAATTATATATATATATATATATATATATATATATATATATATATATATTAATGGGTAACAGACACTCATCCATTCTATTATTTATTTAATACTAATTTAATATTCTAATCTTATCAGTTAACAGTTAATTTTCGGATAATGAGTGGCGGTTGTCAGTCGGGGAAATTAACCGAAATGTGCATCCCTAGAGTAGACAGATGAAAGCAGAAAAAATATCATATGGCTTAACAATAACATTATAGGGAACTTCAATGTGGTTTAGATTAAGATATCTAAGATGTCTTAACGGTTTTTAAGAGGACAGGACAAACCTAAAGAGATTTGTAGCAAAGTTGTAGCATACAATAATAACCCTGATAAGGTCTCAAGGACATTCGTGCGGTCAAGCGTCTGTAAGATTCTTACATAGATGTTGTCTTTCTGGTATCGCTGATGAAGGTTGTGCATGATGGCGGCCTCATGGAGCTCTGCCAGGGTGGACATGTCCTCCACTCCATCAATGCTGCTCTGGTGCATGGGGGACACCTTCTCCCTGTTCACCTCCGCCTGCTGCAGGTACACCGCCTGAAAGACAGAAACAGACAGAGTAGGCTTAACAAAATAACATAGCTTCCACGCACACCAGCCTGCTGATACACACACAGATGCATGAGTAGTAAATCACAAAATGGGAGAGGATCCTTCCTGGGCCATTTTAAGGGAATGCCTACAGTTGAATAATGCATTAGTCAGACAGCAGGGTTCCCGCTTTTCTGTTCTGTGGAGTTTCAGCATGCTGAGGCCTTTTCTTTACCCTTTATACCCACCAGGCACTTCTTGACAAAAACACCAGACGTTTTACCAAGTAGAGAGTACAGTCTGACCTATTTAAACTCAGCAAAAAGGAAACTCTTAATAATGCAGGAGTTAACATTAAACATGTTTTTGCATGTGTAATATGTAGCTTATAAATGTCAGTGTTTATATTAACGGGATAGCCATTGAATTCCATAGTATTTTTTTTTTCCATACTGGAAATAGAAGTCATATGGAAGTCAATGGCTACTGTCAACTGTTTGGTTACCAACATTCTTCAAAATATATTTTTTTGTGTTTAACAGCTGAAAGAAATTCATACATGTTTGAAACAACTTGAAGGTGAGTAAATGATGACAGAATTTTCATTTTTGGGCGAACTATCTCTTTACAATTTTACAATAGGCAGTATGCACAATATAGAAGAAAAGATCTGCCACTGCTTCCTTTACAATGTGACTTTAGTATTAAGAGACAACTATAATTAAGTCATCTGTATGTTGATTTTCTCAAAAATGAGGGTCTGAGGGTTTGATAAGGGTCATACATTTTGTTTGCAATTTGGTGATGCTATTGCTGCAGAAATTACACACTTCAGATTTAATATCCATGTAAATTACATGAACTTTGATAAAAGGTTCTTTGCTTTATTTGAGTGGACAGAACAAAAGGAGGAGACATTCTCTCTCGTGTTGCCCACTGCCACAGCCTAGTTCATGAAGAGAGAGCTGAGAATCTGATAGATTAAAAATCAATACAGCCACTAAAGCCGCGTTTCCACCGAAATTACCAGGAACAGTTGTACCAGGAACTCCCCCCCCACAGACCTGTTGGTGTCTGCGTTTCCATCGCAGTCTAAAGTACCGAGAAGAATAGGCAAATAGTCTGGTGACGTAGGTCTGCGTGCAAATTTCGGACTTGCATCCTCGGTAGTTCGGACTTGGCGAGTTCGACTCAGGAGTGTGAACTCCCGCAGACGGGAGGACGCAAGTCTGGTAATTCTGCAAACAGCAGCGTACTTGATAACATCACTCAGCTCACCTTGGCTACTGCAATTTTCCTCACTGTATTTACAATAAGACGAAATATATCAAACACCACTGCCCCTTTTCGTTTTCATTTAAATATATTAATAGCCACAGAAATGTTCAGGGAACGTACATGGCCTACATTATAATGAAATGAAATATTATATCAAATATTGCCTGTTTTAATTTTAATTTTAACATATTAATAGATTAATAGAATAAAGACCAAAGATTACCTGTTAAGATTTACCCAAAACGAATTATATCTTATGTTTATCCACTACAGAGACATCAGAGCCAGTGGCAAATGTCAGAAGGACTAAGCTAAGTTGAGGCTGCTCTCATCGGGATACATGAGCACTGAGTGCCGGCTGATCGCGTGGAGCTCCCGTCTCCAGAAATAGGCGAAGCACATTTTTAAATAGAAAAATATATATTAAATATATATATAAAAAAAATTATAAATAAACTGCAGATTTGAGTTTTAAACAACTACATTCTCGCCCGAAATACTTTAAAAAATAAATTTCATGACACAATAACAGCGTGAACTCAACCAATCAGCATGTTCAGCACTCAAGTCCTGCCCCCGAAAGTTCCGGACCTTTGAAAAAGTACTACCTCGCGGGCAGGGACTTTCTGAGGGGCAATTTTTTTACCCGGAACTTTAATTTATAGATCCTGGTTGCTGCGGTGGAAACACACCGAAAAACACACTCAAAGTCCATAGTTCCTGGGGAAAAGTCCCTGTAGTGGAAACGTGGCTTAATGTGTGTGTGTGTGTGTGACGTTTACTTCAGGTATGGATTTATGAGCTGTTTCTATTCAAACCCATTAAATCAGCCACAATTATTTTAAGTGCACACACATGTACATATATCCCAGCACTGGAGGGCAAGACAGAGAGAGAATTATGTTCGCCTTTGTTACATGCTGTTAAATTGGGGTTGACAGACTGAAGAGAAGGAAAGATCAAAGTTTATGAACTGAGACAAGTTGCTGCTAATCAATACAACTGACGGTAATGACATTGACCTTCCAGAATCCTGATCAGAATCAAACCTTATTTAGAAATATAAAGAAACAAACCTGATTTCGAATGAAGTAACGCATAATTTTGGTGTATTTGAGTGTGTGTTTCGAAGAGAGAGCGCAGAATTAAGAGACATAATATACTGTCAAATCTCTTTATCACTTGTGTATGCTTTAGATAATTAGCTAGTATTCATACCTTTGTGTTTGTATAAGTGTCTGTCTGATCATATAACTTGATGCTTATCTAACATAACATTTGAAGGCCATTTCTAACGTTCAGTCAAAGCTACTGAAGACCTGAAATATAGCACTAAAGTCTACTACTCACAACTTTTACTTTACTTTATGGTAAGTTTTTTGACGTTTCTTGACAGTAACTATCATACATAACTGCATAACTAAGTTTAAGGACGGGAAAAATGGTCAGCGTGCTTTTTGGGCGTAATGTGCAATAAACCAATCAGAGTCTCATCTCCCAATCCCTTTAGTTGCGCTCGCGCCATGGCAGATTCGCTATTTACACGGTGGAATTTACAAGCAGAAAAACTGAACGCTTCTCTAGCGAGGAAACGGATATGCTCGTACACGTAATTCTGATACATGCAATGACTAACCATTATGACATGTACACTGTAAAAAATAATCCGTAAAATTTACGGTAAAAAACCGGCAGCTGTGGTTACCAGAATTTTACCGTAAAAAATACGGTAGCAACGTTTAAGGTTTTACGGTTTTAACTTAAATTTACAGTTATATACCGTAATTTCATTAACTGATATAATGTTAATATACCAACCTATTGAAGTACTGAAATCTGTTTTGCACCTTTGTAATACACTGATAACCACCAAACGCAGGTGGTGATGAGAAAGTCACATGATGAACCAAAGCCCATCACAAGCAGCTTTTAAATAATAACATATATAGAAGGTGCACAGAGTCATACACACAAACACTAAACACCATCATGGTAACACACATGAAACTGAAATAATGCAATAAACATTCATTTAACAACATTAGGTGTAATACACAACCCTAATATACAAAACTGATAAGAAAAAACTAAGAAGAAACAGTTATTTCAACAAAAAAACATCAAATTTGAAATGTAACGCAGGGAATTATGGGAATGTCAATTTACGGTTATTCACTGTAAATTATACGGTCTTTTTCACTTCCAAAAACGGTATACTACCGTAAAATTAATGTCCAATACATGTAATGTCCAATACAGTTTTTCACCGTATATAGTAGGGGAATTTACCATTAACAATTTAACAGGTTTTTACTGTAGCATTTTTACAGTCTTTTACCGTTAAATTCACAGTCATTTTTTACAGTGTAGGCATTTTTATATTTATGTACACGATAATAATTTCAACACGCCAGCAATGCACCTTAACACACCTCGTTTTCAGACCAGCACGCCCATAGGCGCACAAATGGGCGCAAATTCATTTGCTATTTAAACAACGTGGTGCAGGACATGAAAATGATAACTGCGTCGGGCTGAAACTAGCAAAAAACACTTGCGTCGCACCTGGCGCCGCATTGTGCCGGGTGTATGATAGAGCCCATAAATTGAGCCATTGACCAAAAAAAACCTGGTCTAAAGTCTGGTGCAATATTTTTTCTTTGCGCCTATAAGCGGGTGCACAACATGCGTACACTTTGCTTACTATACACACAGGGATGCACAGCAGCACACAAACATTTTTAAAAATTATTTTTTGCAAATTAAATAGCAAACCCGCCATAGCGCGAGCGCAACTGGCTTTTGAAGGGGATGGGAGATGAGACTCTGATTGGTTTATGGCACGTTACGCCCAAAACACACCCATTACTCATTAAGAGAATAGGGACAACCCTTTTAGACTATGCGCCCGGCGTGCCGACCATTTTTCCCGTCCTTAAACTAGCAAAAGTGGATTCGGACACGCCCTGAGTGCACCTGCGCCGTGCACTTTAGACCATGCACTTAAATATGGCCCAATGTGTGCAAAATGATAAAATGAAATGTTTCCAGTTCGAATAACCAAGAAAAATGTTTCTAAAACATAAAAAAACGGGATATTTTGAACATTCAGAGAACATTCAGAAATAAAGTTTTTATAACTTAATGGGAACATTGGAAAAACATTTTTAGAACACATTTTTGTTGGCTGGGCAGTATCTGATATGTATTGGACATGTATTGGTTGTATGTGTGTGTACCGACTTATTTTGGCGACAAAATTGTACCCAGAAGTGAACTAAACCTGACAAAATCTCTTAAAACCTCCTTTTCAGGTCATCCTCATTTGTAAAAATGGTATTAAAAAAAAGTAAAAGTGTGTGTGTGTGTGTGTTTTGTTGTGATTCTGTGATGATTGTAAGTCCCGTCACGAATTAAAATGCGGCCCACCATGGTGAACCCAATTTAAAAAATAACTTTCAGTTTTACAATTCATTTTAGTTTTTACATTAATTAAAAAATGTACTAAACAAATATAAGCTATAATATTTTTGTTATGTAAAATAATTTAGTTTTTCATATATTATTTTCAGACATGAGCAGACCTGTACTCGCGTAATTAATGTTACGCATTTAACTGAACACTTACAAGCGCGCACTTTGGCAGAATTCAATTCAGCCATTAGTTCGGTAAAATTGAGCATCAGAATGGGCACATTTGTTATTAAGGGAGAAAAATGAAATGTGGA